AGATTGGATCTTATTGGTGGGAAAGCAAAGAATGTCTGCCAGAGAGTAGACATGATTATTTCGAATGTACAACACGGCGAAAGTCAAAGAAACTGGAGAACTGAATGTCTCAGTTAGCTTTTTTAAAATTTGAAATCTATATAAATCATTTACTATTTCTTAATTGTACTCATCTAAAAAAAAGAATTTCTTTGGAATGCCTAGTTTTTTAAACAGGCGGATTGTCCAGAAGAAAATACAAATACAAAGCAAAGACAAATAAAATGATAATAAAGTATGTTTTATATATCACCAAATATAAAGCAATCCTGCCTGTAACGAGGACAACGAATCTAGTATAACGATCAATTTCCAGTTTCGCATGAATAATAGTAATAATAATAATAATAATAACAATAATAATAATAATAATGATAATAATAATCCACTCGGAATGACGGGGGGGGATATCTACACTGAAAAATCTGCAATCTTTATGGGAAGGAAACTGCAAGTGATTTTTCAAGCATAAACACCATTCAACCAGGTGACAGACATAAGACTATAACAATTTTATGGGACTTTACAATACATAAAGGCAGAATAATCAAATTTAATCAAAGATCGTGATCAAAGACCACAAAAACGCTTTCTTATTGACATGGCAGTTCTTCCAAATAATATTTGAAAATCTTCAAAAAACTATCAAAATACAAGGATCTCGGAGTGGAAATCAAAAAAAAAAAAAAAAATAAATAAATAAATAAAAATGTGGTTCCATGAAGACATCAATAATTACAGTTGTAGTTTGGGCCTTGGGTTTGATCAAAGAAGGTTCTGATGGACTCATTAAAGGGATCTCTGGTAGTCTAGAAAATATTCGTCCTTTGACAGGATTCGAACCTGCATCCTATACGGAACCGTCATTTACGCTGACGTGCCTTAACCGACTCGGCCACAAAGTTGAAGTTTATAAGCAGTAAATTCGACCTGTGGCTCTTTTTGGCCGAGTCGGTTAAGGCACGTTAGTGTAAATGACGGTTCCGTATAGGATGCAGGTTCGAATCCTGTCAAAGGACGAATATTTTCTATGAAAATTTCTCGGACATTCAGGCCGGTAAATGTCATTTAATACTGTTTATTATAAACAGAGCATTTACTTAAATACTTGTATCTATAAAAAGAATGTTAAACATAAAAATGTCTTTAATATATATTGTTTTTTTTATTTTTATTTTTACAGCAAGGTTCACCCAGGGGCCACTCGAGGGAGAGGGTTATGTTTGGAGGTCATTTGTGTGTGTGTAGGATGCATAAGGCCAAGTTTCTTGTGGGGTATCCAAGCCCATATGCTCGGCTAAAAATTCCCCATAGGCCCCATAAAAAACTGGGTTAGGTAGCTGTCTACCATCCCAGACAAGACTCTGCCCTTTGGCACAGACTAGTCTGGCTTCCTCTCTGTCTGGAGGCAGGGAGGTTGACCAGCACACTTCCAAAATAATCAGGTTAGTGATCACTTAGTCACCACGCTAATTCCCATATATACAATTCCTTTGCCATCACGTAATCTACTTATTCAAAATGGGATTACCTGTGTTTGCTCTCTGGTGATTTGTGTTCAAACTTTAATGTTGGGAATGACACTTTATTCCTATATAACAATATAACAGTATCAAAATCTCTTACTCAGAGTTTCATACAATAACAATCATCAGACGAATAAAATACTTTATCTGTCTGATGGTTGTTATTGTGACTCTGAGTAGTCATTATTGTATTAATAATATATTGATGGAGGCGAAGAGGTTTACCTTATTTGTTGAGGAAGATATGACCTCTGGGCATTTCATAATTGTGGGCACAGCCACTTTACCTCTGTTCATGATTTGGTTGGTGATCTTCCAGAATTCATGGGATTCAATTTGTTTCTTTTCAACCTTGGTCTGGACTGCTTGTGCATAACTGCACTTGGCGTTTTCTAGAACTTTTTTGCAGTGATTGAGGGCAGTTCTGAATGCAGTGAGGGCCGGACTATATCGTCCTTTGCGATAGATATTGAAGTAGTGGTTTAGGTGAGTTAAGGCTGTAGCGAATTCAGTGGGGAAATAGAGTTGATTGGTTTTTGATGGTTTTTTGGAGGGTGCATAAAACTCTCCATTCCAGAAAAGATCCAATCAGTGACAAGGGCAGCAGTTTTTGAGGCAGCATACTTGAAGAAGGTTGTGAGAGGAGCTTCCATCATATATGATCGAAAGCTATCCCAGTCTGCCTTTGCATAATTAAAAATCATTCTACGGAACGGTACATCAGGGGATGGAGATGTTTTAGGTTTCGCATAAATCTGGACATTGATTAGGGAATGGTCTGACATGCCTAGTGGAGGTAAAACTTTTATCAAGGCAGGAAATTAGGAAGTGGTCAATGAGATTCGCATGATGTCCCGTTGTGTCCAGGTATGTCCTCCGATGATGTGGGTTCGCTCATAGTTGATGGAGAAGTCTATGCAATGTCTGCCTTCAACATCAGTTTTGTTGGAGTAGAATAGCCGCCCTTTATGGTGGATATTGAAGTCATCGTAGATATGAAAGCTGGCCGAGTGGAATTGAATGAGGATATTATCAATCTTCTCAGGTATTCGTTGAATAATATACACAGGCACCTTATTTTTCTTCAGATATCTTGATTAACTTCTTTGCTAGGTTTGCACTAAGTGTTTTGCTTAATAAGATTTCAATTCATATTACTGACTTTTAGTATTAACTAAATCTTATTGTGTTATGTTGAAGATTTATATTTTTATGTGTATTTGTTATAATTGAGCAAAAGATAATGTTGTTACAAATAATTGATTAAAATAGTCTTTTTATAATATGAAATTAAGTAAAAAAAATTATGATACAGTAATTTGTTTTTTTTTTTATTTCTCCTTGCAAAATCTAAATAGAAATAAATAATTACTTAATTTGGAGATAATATCTGAGAATGAAACCATTTACTTAAAATGTATTGTTTAAAGGTAAACTATTTTATCTTGGAAGAGAGCTTGATTTAAATTCTTCAAAAGTCATTAAGTTGTGTATATTTATGATGAAAAAAACTCTACTTTTCAGTTCAGACATTAACTTTTTATCAGTCACTTTGCAGATACTTCAGTGCAGGGCAACACGGGTGTCGATGATTTTGATGATGAGGTAAACTTCAGGTTAATTTTTTCTCATATATTCAATATATATAAACACACACACACACACACACACACACACACACACACACACACACACATATATATATATATATATATATATATATATATATATATATATATATATATATATACATTATGTTTGATTATTTTTATGATAATTCTTCCATATTCCCGAATATTTTCACTATATTACAATTAAATAAGGCAAGAAATGTACTGTAACAGTAAAAATCACTTTTATTTCCAAAGTACTTTCCATCTCTTTCCGAGATCATCATCAGGGGTGCAACTGGCAAGGCAAAAACTATGTGTAGCTATCCATTACTGAATAAAAAAATCAGTAATGGATAGCTACATATAGTTTTTGCGTTACTAATTGTACTCCTGATGATGATCTCGGAAAGAGATAGAGCGTATTTAGGAAATAAAAGTGATTCTCATTGTTACAGTACATTTCTTGCCTTATTTAATTGTAATATACTGAAAAATATTCGTGAATATGAAATGATTATGATATTTCAATATAATCACTCCATTTGGAAGACGTGAGACTAAGAAGGTGCATTGGGTTGAATCAGCTGTGTTGATTAACACTTACATTTTGGAAGCGTTAAAATTTTCAAACGATTTCTTGATCTAATTAACAATTGATTGGAGGTCATTTACGAGAGCAGCTGTTTTGCTTTGTCGGACTTATCGGGGAGGATAAAATTAAGACAGGAGTAAATAGTTGTGTCATCGATATAAATACTGTACTGTACTGATGCGGCATTCACCCTGGGAGGATTGAGCCGGCTTCTTCCTGTTATGAGAAGAAGATTCTTGGGATAAATTACAGAAGTAGGGTACCCAGGCCTACTCGGATAACGTTCTTGCTTGCCGCGGGGTTCCCACAGACGCAGAGACAGGAACGACCAGAAGCCGCCGGTTACCGATGCAGACGCTCCTTGGATTTTCACCAGAGCCCTTGTTAGCCGGCGTGTGTGTCAGACCTGTCCGCCTTGGGTGGCCCTACCAGGAACGAAGTTCCGGGCGGCATAGCTCTGACACTATCGTTTACACCCCCCACCGACTGTGAGGTAAGGGTTGGACTTTGGGGGCTTACAGTACCAGGTGTTCCCAAGCGGTCCCCCATCTAAGTACTGACCTGGCTCTACGCTGCTTAACGGTCAAATCACGCTGAAACACCGGTTCTCGTACGATCACCGATATAAATACAGATTTTGGTATTAAAAAACTAATTTAAATCCATCTCAATATGCTTTTGTGTTTCACAAGACAATTCCATAAGATCATTCTCAAGTTCAGTCCCCACTGGGTTTTACATGAACCTGGCATTGGTCCATCGGTAAGCTTAGTAAAAATAAATACGAAAATAATGAGTTCCTTGTTGAAGAGTGTTGGTACCATGTTTATCTCGGTTACCATTACAGGTTACCATTACTCGGTTACCAATATCTTGACATCTTCCATTAATAGTTTGTAAAATTTTTCAACTTCAGTTTACAAATTATTGATGAATTTTGTATTCATAAGTATGTTTGCGTTGGCATTAGTCTTTAATTAATAACATTTTGACGGCAGACAATTAATTTTTACCATTTTTTAAATTAATATTATTTATATACAAGGAAAAGTACGTATGTGCATGTTGTCCGACAAGCATATTTTCAAAATACGTTTAAGCTTGATATAAATATTTTAGCGTTATGATGTCACGGATGGCGGTAGATAAACATGATATTTTTCACTGGGTTAATTATATTTTCAGTTGTTGAATTCGTTCAAAATCCCTGTTCAAAATCATAATATAAACAGGATGGTAGATAAATAGAAAATAACAATAGATATAACTGAAGATAGATAGATAGATAGATAGATAGATAGAAAGGAAGGAAAGAAGGAAGGACCAAACGGATTGCGATAGATATGAAAGATTTTGATAGATGAAATGGCATCTTGGCATTAGTCCCTTTCCTATCGCCGTAACGTAGTTTCACTGTGCTTTTCTATAAATATTTTTATGGCAATTGTTCTCATGAACTTTTCTCTATGGTAGCTAGACTTTATAAATGTAATTGCAGTAATAGATTAGAAGCCAGGTTTCATCATTTTAGAGTTGAAATGGCGAGATGGAACCGTAAGTTCTATGCTAACAGTTTCTTCTATCGCACTTCTTGCTCTTCTGAGTTCTTGCTTTCCAGTCAAATTTGATCTTCAAAAACTGAAATGCAATGTATATCGTTATCTTCTATCTTCCTAATTTCTGTTCTTTTATTATTCTCTCTCCTTAATAGTGTTTTTATCTCATATCCTCTAACATTCAATAACCCCTTGCGTCTTAGTGGCTTTTATCGTCTTGCTTGGGGTGAACTAAATATAAAAATGAATATATTGTGAACGTATACTTACCGATCTGGAAGCCAACCACAACACAGCATGACAAACAAAACGCCAATAAAAAATACGCTATAGATTTGATGGGTGAGCCATTCTCTGCCACAAACTAAATTAAACTAGAAAAACATAGAAACAATGTTATAGAAATTAACCTGTATAAATGATTCTATTGGAATGAATATATTGATAAAATAATAATATGCGAAAATTATAAAATAAAATAATTCGAACAAGCACTGACATGTTGCCGATCGAGGCTCTGCAGGGATATGTGAATGTCGTCAATCAATCCTCTGTAATAAGCACTGTATACGAGATAATAATAATAAATAATAATAATAATAATAATAATAACTGCGCAGGACCAATGCTTGCTAACAAGGAATTATCAAGCACATATACTAAAATATTGTGTCAGCCCAAAATGCAGATTCTGTGATAAATATCCAGAAACGATTGATCATCTTGTATCAGGTTGCACGGTGTTGGCACCCACTGAATATAAAACCCGACATGACAGAGTGGGCCAATATCTGCACTGGAAAATCTGCAACTTCTACGGGAAGGAAACTGAAATAAACTGGTATGAACACCACCCAGACTCGGTTACGGAGATAGGACCTGTTACAATTCTATGGGACTACACAATACACACTGACAGAACAATCAAGGCCAACCGGCCAGATATTTTTTATTAAAGACCACAAACAAAAACGGTGCCTCCTTATTGATATGGCAGTCCCTGCTGACTGCAATGTATCTTTGAAGATATTCAAAAAGTTGTCAAAGTACAAGGACCTTGAAATAGAAATCTCGAAAATGTGGCATATGGGAACATCAACAATCCCTGTTGTAGTTGGAGCCCTAGGACTGGTTGGAAAAGATTGCAGTAGACTAATTGAAGGGATTACTGGAAGTCCATGCCTCAAGGAGATAAAAAAATTGTTCTGACAAGTACAGTCCACACCTTACGAAGGGCTTTATCTATGTAATTTAATTTTTTTTTTTTTTTTGTCAGTGGAAAGTGTCATGACGCCATTTCTAACCTTAGGTCCCTGGGCGGGACCCGGAAAGAAATGTGTAAACGCCAGAAATCAAAGAAAATAAAAATAATAATAATAATAAATACTACAGTCATTAACATTTGCATGTTTGTTTTTTAATTAAGTGTTTAAGCTACAGTGTTCAAGCCTTTCATATGAGACACCCTTGCCTACTAATTGATTGTCTTGTTTCAACTTGGTATTGAAATACATTGTATCCACACCGTCTCTATTGTTCTGTTGCTAATGTTTTCTTCTGAGAGATATTTCCATTTTACTGCTATATTAAGCCGATAAAATTTTAACATGAAAAGATATTAAGCAAAGGCTATTTATATAAGACCATGAGTAATCAATGAATCATAGATACCATTGAGCATCTAAAGAATATAAAAGAAACAGATTAATTAAACAGTTCATTGGCTTCTATTTTAGTTGTGAATCCTTTATCTCCGTTTCCTTGAATCTCAATATATTGTCTCAAGAGTTTTGTTTCATTGCATCTCACTACTAAAACTTTCTAACAATTGTTGTTTTTTTTTAGGGTTCCGATACAACAACAACAACAATAATAATAATAATAATGTTCCTCGTTTGGAATGCGAGGAGATATGACGTGTTTTTCGAGGCTCCGTAGAAACGTAAAAGGAATATATACTTCAACGTAAATATAACTCAATGTAATTTTATGTTTATTTTGTTTTATTTAATCTTTTTGAAATATATACTTCAACGTAAATATAACCTCACTTAGATATCTAGCTGATTTTAATTTAAATCTATGTGACTATTGTCGGAGTTAACTCCTCCTTCACTCCGTTAACCCTTTCACCAGGGGTCTCTCTTCCCTGGCTATAAATAGCCGCTGACTCTTCACCTCTATCTCTTATTCCTTCAGGATTTCAGCTATCAACCTCGAAATGTGGGCGCTAACAAGGGATAGCGTGGAAACACGCTAAGCACTATATTCACGCACGCATATACAGAATATTCACACACGCACGCACATACAGAATATTCACATACGTACGCACATACAGAATATTCACATACGTATACACATACAGAATATTCACACACGCACGCACATACAGAATATTCCTACACACTTCGTCCTTTGCACTATATATTATGTATTTGTTGTGTTTATAAAAAATATTTATTGTTGAACAAATTCACATTTTCTTCTACTTGATTATTTCTCTTGTTGTTGTCTTTGTTACATTTGATATTGTAAAAATTGTAGAGGGTCAGTTTTTATTTCTATTTATAACCAATACAAATTGGCCGACCCACTATACTATAAATCATAATCGATTTAAATTCTTACTATTAAAAAAAGAAAAAAAAAAAACTATAATGAAAGGATATTATATTTCTCAAAAAAAGTATTTGTTGTATATGTATGTATACATTATAATTTGCTCATTACCGCAAATTATATTTTAATTAATGATATTTTAATTTTAAAGACGTCATTAAGTTAGTATTTATTATTCAAAAGTGACCAATGGGTTATTATTATCATATGCATTGATATGCATATTATGTAATTGGTATTTAGTGATATAATTGCATTGTTACTGTTATTGTTTACTTTTCTTTTTCTAAACTGTTTCTCTTAATGGCGTCTATGTTTGAATTACAAAAGCGTCTTCTAGTAGCAGTCATTTATCAAATTGCAGAATGTTAAAAGACAAATACTGCTGATAGGAAGAAGAAATGAAGCACAAGGTAATAGTAGTAATGGTGATAAATAATAATAATTGTAGTAGTGGTAGTGATGAAATCTTATTTCTTACCTGATTCGGGCAGAGCATTGGGCAGTTCTTCTTTTATGTGCCGTGTCTCTTCAGGACGTAGGCGATCATGGCTCTCCACTTCCTCCTATCTCTTGTACTTCTTAATATGTTTTGTTCTTTTGCTACTTCTCCCAGACTCTGTTCTATCATCCACTTGTTTAAGCCCGCTAAATATGTCACACGTTGCTTTCCTTTGACTCTCTTTACCTCTATCCACCATGTGAGTATCAGATTCTCCAAACCTTTCTTTCTCATTACGTGTCCCAGAAATTTTATCTGCCTCTTCTGTGTGTTAAGTATATAAGAATCCTCCTTGTTTGTATCTTCTCCAAAACCTCATTGTTGTTCACATGTTCAGTCCATGGTATCCTTAGCATCCTTCTCCGTTGCTTCGAGTCTCTTCATTTTTGAGGAGCCCGTACAACATTCGCTCCCGTAAAGAAGGACAGATATCACGTAGCACTACAGTAGTCTTTTCTTTGTTACCAACAAAATCCTACTGTTTCTCTGCCTAGCTTTTGGAATGCGTTTTTGGCCATCCCAATACGTCCTCAGCGTCGCACTTACCGTCCTCTGTTAAAACACTTCCTAAATATTTAAATTTCCATACCTGCTTGATTTTAGTGTCCCCGACCTGTAAATCGCATTTCGGGCTCACCTTTTTGCTGAACTCATTTTCTATCCGTATGCAGGCCGTTGGCTGCCAGTATAGGTTCTTGGTTATTCTAATATCTTTCCAAATATATCAAATATATCAAGGTTGCTGATCAGTTCCAACAGATTTTTGTGGCGTACTTTGTGGAACGCCTTTGCGTAGTTTATAAAACATAGATGCACGTCCTCTGCATTTGTATTTCTCTTTCTGATAACATTATGAACATGATTATCGCGTTCCTTGTTCCGGTGTGTTTGACGAACCCGCACTGTTATTGTGCTATCTCTGGCCTGATACTGCTGTGCGTTCTATTCATCAAAATACGGATGATGAGTTTTGTTACGTGGCTCATTAGGCTAATTGTTCGGTGGAGTTCACATTCGTTTGCGCCTGGTTTCTTAGGCAGAGCTATGATAATAGATCTGCTGAATTTTTCTGGTATATTACCAATGTTGTAGATTTCATTTGTTATTTCTGTGATCTTGTCTATGCCAAATTCATCTAAGGCTGTCAGCATTTCTGTTACAGTTCCGTCTGGCCCTACCGCCTTGTTTTTGTTCAATTTGGCCAGTGCAGCTTCTACTTCGGACTTTAGAATTTCAGGCCTGTCGGTAGTTTTGTGTATTGCCGGTTGTTCTTTTTCGTCGTAGAAGAGTTCTCCAATATAATCGCTCCAGCACTGAATAATTTTTTCTTTCTCTAATATGAGCGTTCCACCTTTTGATTTTATGCAGTCTATTGACGAGTATGTCTTCTATCCTGTTAATTACTTTATTTGTTTATGTACATCTCCTTTGTTGTTGGTAATTAATTTCTCTATTTCTGCATATTTTTATTTAGACACAATTCTCTAGCCTGCCTGTATTTGGTCCTTATTTCGTTGTGTAGTTTACTGTATTCTGTTCCGTATCTTGGCAGAGTTTTCTGTTTCCTTTGCACCATGTCGAGAATCTCATCAGTCATCTATTCGTTTTTTCTTCTTCGTCCATTCTCCTTTAGGTATCGTTTGCTGATGTCACTAAAACTTCTCTTAGTGTCTCCCATTTCGATTTTCCCTTTCCAATGTGTCCCTCGTATCTTCTTTTTACATTGCCCATAGAATTTTCTTTCAGGCACGGATTGCTCAGGAGTTTGCTTTATTGCAATCTGGGTGCTGCGTTAGGCTTCTTCAGTTTCCGTAATTTCACTCTTAGTTTACATATAACAGGACGATGACCACTTCCGCAGTCGGCACTTGGGTAGATTTTGCAGTGAACCATTGCATTCCTGAATCTTTTGTTGATACTTATGTAGTCAGTTTGTTTTTTAGTTTCTCCTTCTGGGCTCCATTCTCATTAGTGACTAGACTACCCATCACGGTTCAGTTTATAAAACATCGAAAAAATTGTTTGAAGAAAGTTGAAATAAAAATACTTACTACATAAAGAACTCGTAGTTTTTAAATCTTATTTACTTAAAATATTTTTTAAATTAGATTAACTTAAAAATATTCTTTTAATATGCCAAAAAATATTTTTTAATTCCTATTCACTTGAAAAAAAGAAAATTAAATACAGCAATTTTTTTTAAGGTATAAAATATTGTTCGTTTAAAGAAAGCTTAAATATAAATAATCAGAGAGAGGTGGAAAGAGGGAGAGGTGGAAAGAGTGAGAGGTGGAAAGAGGGAGAGGTGGAAAGAACGAGAGGTGGAAAGAGGAAGAGGTGGAAAGCGGTAGAGGTAGAAAGAGGGAGAGGTGGAAAGAGGGAGAGGTGGAAAGAGAGAGATGGAAACAAACAAATTATTATGCGCCCGACGGCTGACGTACGCACGATTTACAGACATTTTTCAACATCAGTTAGTTAAATCAAGATTTAAGGTGTAATGTTTTATTTGTATTATAAAATGATATTAGCGTATATCTTGTAGAAAATTAGTGTATAAACATATGTATTATATAATATCAGACAATGTTTGTGATTATATACTGTATGTCATCTATCAGAATATATTTATGTATTGGCAATGGAAGAATGGAAGATACTCATCAACTAAGCATTTCAAAAACGTAGCAAAACTTTTACATAAACCGGCAAAATAGTAGTAATGTAGCCCTAGTCTTCTAAGTTGGAAAAAACCGTTGCAAAATATACAACTATCTCAACCACAAGAAAAAATATTAGATACTTTAGACAGAAGAAATATTAGTTACCTTAGAAATATGAAATATTAGTTACTTAGTAATTTTAGTTACCATGCTAAATCTATCTTTTGTCTTTAAAACAGTTTTCATCTGAAATGTCTCTATTTATTAAAAACAAATAATGATTAATATTCAAGCGGATAATCCAAGCTTTAATAACATCACATCAACAAGTCTTGACAGTGATTGACTTTAGAAATATTAATATTTTATGTAAGTTGAGACATTCTGACTGTTTTTTTAGAAAGACTTGCGGTACGATGTAAAATACAGATTATGGGGAAGAACAGAAAATCATACGGTTTAGTAGGCTAATTAGGGTTCCATCTATGACAAACATATGTATCAAAGATACTTACGTCACTGGTCATCGATGATTGAAATATTGATTTGTCATAGACCCAGGAAGCACAATTAGTCAGAGTCTGGTTTCCCAGGACACTCTTGTTAGCATAAAGATGGCATTTGTTGTAAACTGGTTTCCCATCCACTATCTCTTCAGGAATGTATTCTTTAATAAGCTCAGCGTGGGCTTCGCTTTGCACTTCGTAAGTGTCATTTGTTAAACCAGGAATAGCACACCTTTGACGAAAAATGAAAATAGGTTTTTGTAATAGCATGAAGAATTATAAATATATTTAATCTACAACAAGGAGAACAATAATATTAATAATAACAATAATAATATTGTTCAGTAATTAAATTCCTTATGATTTTTTGTAGATATGATTATTCTTATTATGTATTGTATACATTGTGTTTCCTCAGCAGTATTAAATGTTGGTTTCACTGAAGATTAAGTGGCAACTATTTTCCATATTGTTCAAATACTCTCCTCGAAATTCTTGATGCTTTTACTAATTCTATCGTCTAGATTCCTTCGGGGCTTTCCCAATTTCCAGTTTGTGCCGTATTCTTTAGTGAGATACGAGATAATCTATTTGTCTCTAAGAATAAAATCTTTCGAAACAATAAAAAATTGCGAATCGGTTGAATAATGAGGAAAAAATATAAGCGAAATATTGAAGAATCAAACGAAGTACGGTTTATTCTATTTGCTTTAAAAAAAATTAATTGAAATTTTCGGTTTGAAAATAATGAAAAAAAAAGGAAAAATAATCAGAACTTTGAGGAAAAAAAATTAGAACCTGGAGGAAAAAATCAGAGCCTGGAGGAAAAAATCAGAGCTGGAGGAAAAAATCAGAGCCTGGAGGAAAAAAATTAAAACCTGGAAGAAAAAAATCAGAACCTGGAAGAAAAAAATCAGAACCTGGAGGAAAAAATCAGAGCCTGGAGGAAAAAAATCGGAACCTGGAGGAAAAAAATCGGAACCTGGAGGAAAAAATCAGAACCTGGAAGAAAAAAAATCAGAACCTGGAGGAAAAGAATCAGAACCTGGAGGAAAAATCAGAGCCTGGAGGAAAAAAAATCAGAACCTGGGGGGTAAAAAACAGAACCTGGAAAAAAAAATCAGAAAAAAAAATCAGAACCTGGAGGAAAAGAATCAGAACCTGGAGAAAAAAATCAGAGCCTTGAGGAAAAAATCAGAACCTGGAGGAAAAGAATCAGAACCTGGAGGAAAAATCAGAACCTGGAGGAAAAATCAGAGCCTGGAGAAAAAAAGGCATAACCTGGGGGTAAAAAAATCAGAACCTGGAGGAAAAAAATCAGAACCTGGAAGAAAAAAATCAGAACCTGGAGGAAAAGAATCAGAATCTGGAGGAAAAAATCAGAGCCTTGAGGAAAAAATCAGAGCTGGAGGAAAAATGTCACTGAAAGACGAAGTGTCCAGAAACATAAAAACATATTCACAATATTGTTTTTTCAATCGAAAGAATACATTAATCGCTCACATCATTTTATACTCAATAACACCTTTGGTTTGTGGGATATAGAACCTATCCTTTTGATATATAAGCAGTTCCAATGTAAAGGTGTTCCAATAACTTGGACCGATTTTAAATATGAATTAAGTTTAAGCGTCTAATGATATTTTTTCTTTTTCTTCAAGATTTAACAACCTAAGTCTTTGGCAATTTCAACCATAGAAAGATCAATAACCAAACAACGTGTTAAAATTATCGAAGCCTATAACGAAAATGGACGTTCAAACAGAAATGCATTTCACGCACTTCGCGATCTTTTTGGTCAACATAATCGACCAACCGAGAGTGCAATTGGAAAAATCGTTCGTAAATTCGGTGGCAGATGTGAAAACACCACTGCGTGTTCATTTACGCCGTTCTGCTGAAGACATTGCTGCAGTGCACGAGAATGTGGTCGAAAATCCAGACCCCTCTATTCGTTATTTTGCGCAGGAATTGAACCTCTTCACAACAACGTTACATCGAATTTTGACAAAAGATTTGTCTCTACAAAATTCAATTGACACAAGAACTGAAACCTGATGACCATTTGGAGCGCCGTACATTCGTCAATTGGATGCACGATCAAAGACAAGCCGATGAAGATTTTTTGCAAAAAATCCTCTTCATTGATGAAGCCCATTTTCATCTTTGCGGATTCGTTAATAAACAGAATTGTCGCATTTGGGCTGATGAAAATCCAAGGAAGATTGTTGAAAAACCACTGCATCAACAAAAGGTCACTGTTTGGCGTGCTTTTTTTTGCTAGCGGAATCATTGGGCTGTATTTCTTCGAAAATGATGCCAGTAATTCTGTTACGGTGACAGGTGAGTGATACCATGCATGAGAACCAACTTTTTATAGCCTGAATTGAATGCTATGGATGTCGAAGATTTCTGGTTTCAACAGGACAGCGCCACATGCCACACAGCCAATGTAACAATGGCTTTATTAAATGAGAAGTTTCTAGGTCGCATCATCTCTCGAAACAGCGAAATCAATTGGTCACCACGATCGTGCGACTTGGCGCCTTTAAATTTATTCCTTTGGGGTCATCTCAAAAGTAAGATCTATGCCAATAAACTAACAACAATTCAACAGCTGAAGGATGAAATAAGGCATATTGGTGAGATCGAGAAGCAACTATGCAGAGTTGTCGTCAAAAATTTTTCGAGTGGAGGTGTGTCGCTGAAGACTTGGTGGACATTTGGGCGATGTTATTTTTCACGCATAATTGTCATGACTTAAATAACATGATCCAATAGAGAAATAAATAAATTTTCATCAATAACATTACTGCTGACTTTTAACAAAACACCCTTTAAATATTTAAAATGAAAAATTATGACAAAATTAAATGCATTCCAAAAAGTAAACAAAATTAATGATAACTATAAATAATACTTACTAGTCTAAGATTTCTTTTACGTTGCTTTGTTCTCTATAAAACATTGTGTCAGAAGAGGAAATCACATTCGCACGATAGACTATCATTTTTTATTTTGTAAATCTAAGGTATCTGTTAACATCAATAATGTTATATACAGGCGAATTATATTTTTTAATAGCCTTATCGTCTTGTTTATAAGTAGAATGTATCTGGTTACAATAAAATAATTTAATGGGGTCTGGATTCCCCTTTAACTTGCGAAGAAAATGTTCTAACGCAAGAACGTAAAGAAAAGGCGAAAGCGGACAACCTTGACGATTGGAGCTAAACAATACGAAAGGCTCCAATCTTACTCCATTCACTTCCACCAGCGCACCGGGAGTCGCATACAAAAGTCGGATCCAGGAGCAAAAGTCGGCTCCGAAACTGGCAGCCGAAAGAACAGCCTCCAGAAAACGATGGTCAACCCTATCGAAGACCTTGGACTGATCTAAATTGATCAGCGCGGTTTCACTGTCGACTTGTTCTAAGATCAAGCGTACCATATGAAGGTTGTCCTGAATAGTCCTGCCCTTCACAGCACAAGTCTGTTCGGAGTCAATCAGGCTAGACAGGACAAGCTACAAACGGTTGGATAAGATCTTCGACAAAATCTTTAACTGTGTGTTTAACATGGTTAAAGGGCGAAAATTATCTAACTTATCCCCACCGTTTTTGTCCTTACGCAGCAACTTGATCACACCCCTGGTGAAGCGTTGAGGTATAGACACCTACTTCATCCAGTTGTTGAAAATCAGTTCCAGCAAAGGAACAAAAACAGGCGACTGCCTCAAGTAAACTTCGTAGGGAAGACCATCTAGTCGGAGATTTATCCAGGCCAACCTGCTTCAGCGCTTCCCAGATTTCCGATTCTGTGATGGGACCCTCGCAACCAGGGGCTTCAGCTGCCTCAAGGTAGAGAAAATTAGCTAAATAGGCGTCGAACTGTGCAGAGTTCAGACCGGGCTCCCTGGTGAAAAGATTCTGAAAGTAATCCCGAAAGGCCTCACATATGCCTGTGCTTGTAGTCACGGTCCGCTTATTTATCCGGCAATGTGACGCACGCGATATGTCACCGAGATGCATTCCGAGACTCCTCTGTGTGCAATTCAGCGTCTATATTCGTCACCTCAGAGGACATTCTTTTTAACCTAGCCCTAACTACCAGAGCTTGATCCTTCTTGATAAGCAAGGAGGACAACTCTGCCTTAGCTGAGGCTATTTCCCCACTATCACGGGATTTAACTGCCCGATCGACTTTTTGTTCTAAAGCCGCTTTCGCGGCTAATTTATCTACATTGAGTCGACGACTAAAATCGGCAGCAAACGTTCTAATTTTGGATTTTAATTTATCCTACCAGGCATTCACTAAAACCGCCCCCGTCAATTCCCTCTGTATCATTAGTGGCAGTTGGTCCCGGAAATCCCGCTCACCAAATAATGAACAGTTTAATTTCCAATAGCTAGCTAACCTAACCTTAGGCTTATCTAAGTTTACACGGACCCAGACAAGTCTATGATCCGAATAAACTATATAATGGAAACTTGGACACCCTAAGAGCCCTACATCGACTCTCCTAACCAAGACTCGGTCGAGGCAGCTAGCACGCGTCCCAGGAGCCGCGTTGACACTATTTGTTCAAGTCGAAACTACCTCCCGAGGGTGCTCATTTCGGTACCTATCCACAAGATGAAATCTGTCGATAAAGTCGTGAAGTGGTTTCACGTCTCGGTTGTCAGTACCCTATACGGTCTATATCGGGGTCAAGGACGGCATTCCAATCCTCCGCTAAAACTACCCGACGAGATGTCGTCAAGAACGGTTCGATCCGCCGAAACAAAGCAGACCGCTCAACATGGATATTGGACGCATAAACCCCAATGAAACGCAGAGCCTTATCTTTTATGGTAACATCCAGCACGCAAAGTCTGCCCGCCGGATCTGCGAAGACAAGAGTACACGCAGACTTCAAACACTTGCTCACCAGCAAAGAGACACCTCTCGAACGGCCATCAAAACATGCTGAATAAAGAAAGAACCCCTTAGTATGTCCTCACGGTCATGAGAAGAAAACCGGGTCTCTTGCACGCAACAAGAGATTCTGGCCTCAATCCGCGGATATTTATACTAGCTAACCAGAGAAACATTTACCCAACCAATTAGGGTTGCTTTCCTGAATTGAACACGGACGGGATAAGGATACCGACTGCCTCTCCCTCGACCCGTGGCCCATCTCATTCTTGATGGTGCCGTCTTGGGAGAGGCCGCCATTATCTCAAGGGAAAGTCAAATTTTAGTGTTCTTTAAAGGGAGGGGTGAACAAAAACCGGGGCCCTCCCAGCACAAAATTTCTTCATTTTTTCAATTTATCATTTTGGACAATTGCGATAGGCGGAGACATTTTAGAGGCTATTGATTCGTCTAGCATAGACCAAGTCTGCTTCGCCCCCGTCCCAGTTCTTATTACTGTTAGAACCCTTTCCGCATTGGGAAAATTTTGGGGTTCCTCAATGTCTTTGTAGGCAAATTGTTTAATTGATAAGATGTATTTCAGGTCTTATTCTGTTTCCGTAGTCACGAGCTTTTTCTGCTTGAACAGGGGATATTTTACACACGTCTTCATCTGAGTTAAAAATGTGTTTTGTTTTTTTCTATGACTGGTTAAGTCCTGTGTGGGGACTCTGAGCCTTTTGTTTTAGGGAGGAGGCATTTCAGATGTTTTAATAGGAGGAGTGGGGGTGTGACGAGGTGTATAAGTTTGCCTAAAAGGGCTAGGGTCATACTGAGCGGGGTTGAGAGATGGGAAAAAGATGTGGATAGAGTGACAGGTAAGGACTTTTCTCTACAAAGAGGTGTTGAGGGATGGGAAGAAAGTGATGGGTCAGAGGTTGTGGAGGCCATCTTTATAGAGACGGTAGACGGCTGGAGAGACAGTGCTGAAAGTTGGAGGGAAGTGCTTTTTTAATGGGGGAGGATTTTGTCTTCCTTCGGTGGTCTAATTTTTTTTTTAAGTTCTTTAATTTTCTCCGTCTTTTCAAAACCGGGGTCGTATTTTTTTTTAGGGTCGGTATTGAGGCCGGGACGTCGCCCTTACTGTTGACAGAGGGATTGGAACTGTTAGTACCTTTTGTCCCGGAGGCTTTAGGGGACTGAGGACTCGCTGCTGGCGCTTCCCTCTGGCTCTGCCAGCAACCTGCCATTCCCCCTCCCCCTCATCCACAATTGCACTTGCAGCGGGAGAAGGCTCTTCGGGAAATGGAGGCTTAGGTGTAGGCCCAACCGGGGGTTTAACCACTCCGGTCCCGGAAGCTGGCATGCCCATTACAGGCGAGGCGGATTTCAAAGACGCAGTCAGAGGGGGAGTTTGGTCGACTGCCTTCATACTCAGTTCGGAGTATTAGATCTTTTGTAATTAATTCACGGCTACTAGCTTTCACGAAATCTTCAGCTGTGGATAGCAATACATCCCACGTGAAGAAGCCCTTGCCCTTAACAATACGAAGTGACTTAAACCCCAGGGACTCTAGTGTTTTAACCACTGTGTCTTTTGTCGAAGGACAAATTTTGCGCGTACGCTTGTCGACGACAAAGACCGACACAATTCTTTTATAGATCTTCTTCAGTTCCAAGGGGTCCTCCAAGTGCCCCCCTTCTACTACAAGGTGTGCATAAATCTGAGCATGCTCCAAGAACTCCGCAATATCGATAATGCATTTTGGTGGGGACTTCCAACAGGGTGAATCCCAGGCCTCAGCGGTATTACTTGTATTGTTCTTTTCACCATTCTTGGCCTCCATGTTCTTGCCAGATCTTTGGCCATTATTGGCCACCGGACTCTTGATTTCTTTCTTTGCCATTATCGGCCTCCATACTTTCTATTTCGCTACCAACGGCCTCCTCACATGAAGAAGAAGATTCTAAATGCCGAGTATTCCTCTAAATTGTCTTTACCGGGCGGATCTTTTTGGGGGATTGAAAAGGTGTTTTCTTACTGATCTCCTGAAGTCAGCCATTTTATTTTTTTTTTTTAAATTAAGAAAGTAGGCACTTTCTTTTCGTTCTTTTCCATTTTTTTAAAGGGAAGGGCAGGGGTGAAAAGGGAAAAAATTGTTAATAAGTTCCGCCTTATAGGCGAAATTAAAAAAATCAGGCAAATTAAACAGACAAAAACAGGTAACAGACAAAGAAAAAAATGCGAAAAGAAAAACACAAGACTAGCCCGAAAGCGAGACAGCAAATCAAAAATGTACAAAAACAAGGAACAGATAAATAAATATACACAAAGGTTAGTATAAAAATTAAGTGACGAATGAGCAAAAAAAAAAACAACAAAAAAACAAACCAAAAAAAAAAACAAAACAAAACAAAAAAACAAAAACAAGGTTCACCTAAAGGTGAAAACAACAAATAGGAAAAAACACAAAACAAACGGACGTATGAAAATTGACGAGAAACAAAAGAACAAAATTCGCCTAAAGGCGAAACAACAAATTGACACAAAACAGAAGGACGTACAAAAAAATAGACGACAGACGTGAAGAAACAATAAAATGAAACGCTCTACACAGAAAAAGGAAACCGTTATACAAAGAAAATACGAAACAAAAATACACAAAGCTAATCACAAAACCAAAATGGCTGACGCTAAGAACGAGTCAAACCGATAAGAAATAAACAAAAATATATTTATAAGAGAATTTAAAAGTAAAAGAAAATGAAAAAGAAAGTAAATAATAAAAGAAAAAGAGCAAAATTAAAGGGAAAAAAAATGGGGAGGGTAAAAAAAAAGCGAAAAAGAAAAAAATCAAAACAGAGATAATTTTACCTGTGTTTAATTCCAGGAATGATGAAAATCATGCTGCCGACCTGTAATCCATCAAAAATTTTAGAAATATACAATAAATTAAGAATAAATATTTGATAACGTCCACATCCACCAACAGCTTTTATCGCTTCTTCGTACTTCATAATTTTCTTCAGATTTATTTTCCCTTCTTGCTAAAAATCACAAAATGCTGCTTTTTAGATGGATACCCTAATTAATACAAACACCGTCTTTCTGTAGGTGAACATGTGTTCTTATAACCTTTAGGTGATTATAATTTCTCAATCAAACAATAACGTTCAACCAATCAGCATGTGTCTATGATATAAACAGCAGTAGCTGCATCAAAACATGACAAAACAATTAACCTCGTTTATTTCAGAAAACCAGTCTTTCTACATTACTAACAATATTTTTAAATACATTAATTTGCACGGCAAAATGCTGCAGTAATATTTTTGGTATACTGTTATTTACATGATAAACAAAAGAAATTAGTACCATTTAAATATTCGCCTAGAAAAGCAATAAATTGACAATTTGTTGTATTATTTGATACTTCCAGTGTCTGAGGAATTCATTTGAATTAAAATCTATATTCGCTGAATAAGTCAACTTCATTCTACAATAAAACACCAGAATTCCTTCAAGACAAATGTTGGTGAATGTGCATTTATGTCGCCTTTCGTTGATCATGTATTATAATTTCCAGGTCAAGCGATAAGGTTTATTACTTCAACTAATCAGCTTTTGCCTTTTAAGGAATCAGACGGAGCAGCAAAGGTATAATAATCATCGTCAGGAAACGCTTATCGTTTAGTGCTAAACAAAGTAGTTTAATAAATTAACCAACAACTATAATGAATTTGATACGACTGAGTGAACCACATATGTTGTCCTGTAACAGACAAAAATAAATAAATAAATAAATAATTAAAAATATAAAAAAAATATTATCGTTAGGAATTTAGTTTAATATCGATCTCATAACGCTGAACATTTCTAACCTATAACTTTTATTTCAGGGTCTTAAACAAAATTCTCAGAATCTAAAAGAATGAAGACGAATATACCAAACTTATTGCAAGGTTCAAATGTAAACTAGAATAAATGTAGGAACAGCAGAAAGTTTTTGAAAACAGAAGATACAAAGTTTAACCATAAAAAATATGTCAATAGCACAACCCTTCAAAAATATATGTAAGCTAAAAATCAAGAAAAACAGAATAACATGTAAACTCAAATGACAAGTAACATTTCAAAACATAACCTTTGCATGGAAGGAAATTGTTCTATAAACAATTAGATGAATTCGTAGATGAATCAATGTAGATGGAACAATGTCAAGTAGTATTATATTATAAATCTGGTTGTTCCTTAGATAGCATGTAAGTGATACCCACCCCCTGCCAAATAGTAGACTATTCTGGTTTGACTGCGAGGAAAGACTGAAACAACACGCCAGAGTCATTGTTGGGTTTCAGAGAGAAAAAGAAAGAAAATAAGAAATAGAGAGAAGATAAAAGAGGCGATAACGCTCTCATATGTTTAATTCTGCTTCTGTGAAATGGAAAAAAATACTTGTTGAGACCGATACACCTTGTTATTATTGGAATTTATTGATAAATATAATACATCAAGTATGACACAAGGCCGAATTTCTGGGAAGGAGAAGGCTGATCTTCATCTGTCCAATGTTTAACTTAGCTAGTCTCAATCACTGACCCACTCGTTCGATAATGTCCCTTTCACCACAACGCTACATTTTTGTATACCATTCTATACTATAGTCACTAAAATATCACAATTTCTCTATGAAATCCTAACGAGTTCCCATTTGTACAAATTTCGTCTGGAGTGGATATAAAAATAACAATATGTATCCCCTATGTGTATTTACAATATGAAAAAAATATTTACAAAGACTAAAAAAAAAAAACTGTATTAGTAAATAATAACTCCTGACAATTCTAAAATTGCAGCAGAAGTATCAGCTCGCCAGACGAAAATAATGCGGGATTGAATAAATATGGAAACATTCACTTAACAAACCACACATTCGGTTAGTGACTTGTTATGATGATCAAACTTAGTAGCCGTAGGTATACTAAGTACACTAACTCAAAGTTGCCTGTGAGTTATAGTTATAGCTCTCTTTATACTAATTACCTATTAGCTAAACCAATCCCATTACATCTCCCTGAATCTTGGGTTTCACGCCTTGCATAGATCTGCGGCTTCTTCTACATTCCCTCTCCCCACTCTCACTGGTTTCACGAGTATTTCTCTTTATGGGGGACCTTGATCTAATTCTTTTATTTTCAGTGTCACATATTTCGTACTCCAAGTCTTCCGAAGAACTTTGATCGTCCATTGATTCATCTGCCTTGCTTTCTTTTTCATCTATTATTGTCATTCGAACTAGCTTCGCTTTGTACTTCCTCTTAATTTTAGCTAGCTCTTAACTGGTCTGCAAGAGCAACAATATTTTTATCATTCTTGCATATTAATGACGTATTGTGTCCTTTTTGCATTTTGAAATTCACCTTTTCCAGCCTGTTTTCTTTATATTTCTTTTGTATGTTTTCATTAATAGACTAAGACATGTTTAATGGAGCTCTAATCAGTCTGTCCATTAATGCAGACGGGCTTTCTAATCTGTTAGCATGTGACATCGTTCTGTAACTCAACAATAATCTAGGTAGGAAAGTTTCAATCTTTTCTTGCTGAGAAGAAAATGCTTTCAATCCTATCTTTATTGTTTGGACCATTTGATCAGCAATCCCATTTGATTGAGGATGGTAAGGAGGTGTTTTATATGGGATACAGCCAATCTTCCTTAACCACGAGTATAGACTTTTGTCACAGAATTCGGGAGTATCATCAGTTACTAATTTTTTTTGGAACTATTTCTAGCAAATATTATTTGTTTTACAGTAATAGATTTTTTTTATTATGAACTCAGAAAACTTCAGGCCAGGCGGAAAATGCGTCAACCCGTATTAGACATAAACCTACCCCGTTAACTTTTGTGAGATCCATATGGACTCTGGTTTATTTTCTTTAGGCCAAGAGTGTAACTTATTGTGGCGAAAATTCTTTATTTCGGCACATTTAGGACACTTGCGTCCCGTCCACCAGGCTTCCAGTTTTAACACTTTTGTGTAGCAGTTATCCCACAATGCACTTCATCATGTATACTTTTAATTACTTCTTTTCTAAATTTTTCCGGTGCTGTGACTAAATCCCCATTACAAATTAGACCATTTTCTATTGATAGTTTTTTTTTTTCTGGTTTCTTTGTAGGGTTTTTTCTGCTTTGAACAGTTACTCCGTTTATTGTTCTTTATTCTAGATAAAATTCGACTTAAGACTGAATCTTGTAACCTCTCCATAACTAGTTTATTCATAGGCAGCACATCCGTTTCCACCAAATGCAAAAATTCATTCTCAACTTTTTTTCGTTTTGTTTCTTTTCAAATTGTAGTCTGGACAATGCGTCTACATTTGGTATTGTGTTTTCCTTCATGTATTCTATATCATAATCAAACGCCATTAACTTCATAGCCCATCTTAATATTCTGGATGATGTAACTTTCAGTAATTCCTTTCTAGGATAGAAAATTCTAAGGGTTTATGATCGGATCTCAACAAAAAATTTGGCAAAAAATAAAACTAAAACTGACAAATAAAATTTTAAGATATATATACTAAAAATACACGAAAATATCTTGAAATATTATAGAGTAAATTTATTCAATAAAATCGCCATTGGCTTCAACCACGGCCTCCAAACGACTTCGGAATCTCCTGCACCTTTTCTGGACGGTCTCCTTGTTTAAGTTGGTGAATGCTACCATAACCCGTGGCTTCAGTTCATCTTTGGTGTTAAAAGGTGTTTTGTCGTTCTCTTGCTCAGCTGCCCCCCCCCCCACACACACACATGAAGGGGGTTGCAGTCTGGGTAGTTAGGCGGCTAGATGTAAGGGCTGATGTGGTCGCAGAAATTGGCTGACAGCCATAACTATGTTCTGAATGTGTGGCGTGGTGCAGACTTCTGTTGTCAGACAGAGTCTTCCAGCAGCCACCCTCTTGACCCAGACAGCACAACCTCCTCAAAGGCACTTGATGTAGGCGTTCATGTTGAGTCTGAGGCCTTGTGGGAAATTGAATAGAGGCATAACGTCGCCATCAGTAGTGATCACTCCAAACACCTTCGTAATCACTATTAGACTCATCCAAGTCTTTCCGAATCCTCTGCTCTTTCCTCAGATTGACACCTAAACACTCTGAAATGTTCGTATTGGTTCTTCTGGTGCAGTCGACAAATTCAAAAGCAAAGAACGGGCATGCGTGAAATTTAAATATAAAATGGCTTCAATTTACCCATCAAACGCTGTATATTATAATAGTTAAAATTTTGAAAAGGTTAATTTATATTTGCTGATTATAAAAAAAATAATTGAAAGATTTTATATTCGTTAAATCCTTTCTACATAACTTTTTATTTATAAATTTAAAATTTTTTCCGAATTAATTTTATTGATTTATTTTAAAATATTTTTTAAATTCTAAAAACAAACATTTCATAGAATTAGAAGAATAAATCAAGCTGTTTTCCAGAAATCGTTTGCTTGAAATCATAATAAACACATCGAAAATATCCATATGCGACAAATTTGTGTCCAAATTCTCAGTTGATACTCGGGAGATTTTTCTTTCGAAATATGTTCTTTTATTCAAGAAGAAAAATGCTAAAGAAAGGGATTTATCTTTTAAAATGTAAACAAAAAACAACAAAAGACAAAAGGAAAAGAAAAATCAACAAAAACAAGACAACAAAATCATGCAATTTTCTTTTCTTTTTTTTTTATTTTAGTCATTTGCATATTTCAGTTTAATAATTTTTTGTACATAGCTTAAACGAATGAGGTTGAAAAGGTTTTCTTATATTTTGGTGTAAACTTCATATAATAGGCAATACATACATACATATATATATATATATATATATATATATATATATATATAT